TTCTTTACTGAATTCCTTTCCTTTTATACTGATTATGTTCAGCACAGTCAAACATAAGGTGATTGTCCCTTAGCATGCCACAGATCGAGAGGGATTTGCATAACAAATGTTCATTGGTCGCAGAAAGGCAATCCTTCTTGATTTTAAAAAGAATTGGTACTTACCCCTTCCATGTTGAACTGACTTGTATCAACTTCAAAAAAGAAAATAATATGAAAACCAGAAATTGTTATGTTGGAAACGTAGGAGGCGAGAGTAAAGGAGATGGTCAGGATTTGTATTTAAATGTGGTACAATTAAAATGTTCACAAACAGACATCACTGGGATATTGAAATTAGAACTTCTGAATTTTTCTTTAAAATAAGAATACAATGGTGTGAGTTGTGGACTACAGTATTTGTCATTATCATCTTTGTGTTTGCTTTCCCTTATTCCTACAATATTTTGGCAGTTTCTCTGCTTTCTAATGTCTTGTGTTTCTTTAATACAATCCTAACAGAGAGCAATCAGAAGACCTATATTTTTAAATAGTTAGGTTTAATGTATTTTTTTAAAACATTTTTTTATTTTGCTTATTGTAGCAAGGCCTTTACAGATGGTTCTTGGTTACTCTAAAGTGCAATACAGTATTTCCTTTGTGGCAGATGGATTTAAGACTTTTAGTTCTCAATAAATGTAGGTTTACAATACATAACTTTACAGGATTTGTGTTGTATATAACAGGTTTGAACATATTATCTCAGAATTCATCTGCATGGCATTTTCAGCTTATCCAGGGCCCATGCTAGTATTTTAAGTAATAGGGAGAGCATAGTGATTGATAGCAGCTAAAGGCGTGATTTTGAATAGAAACAAAGGTTTTAGAACAGAAGGTGTCACATTAAACTTTGTCAGTTTGAAAAGTAGTAACATCCTGAAAGTTCTACAAATGTATTTACATGTGGCTAAATGTTTATATTTTGTCTTATACCTTCTTTATATTCAGCGTAATATTGCCTGGCAAATGTACTATATTTAAAGTTTAGGTTGTTCCCATGGATGTTTGTTCCCATGGATATTTTTTTAGGCTTGCTGTTTTTTAATTGGCCTAATTTTTAAAGGCTGCTTCTTCACTGTTCTTTGTACACACTAAAGAACAATTGTGATCTGATTTGAGTAGTGAGTCCTTTGCAAATTACCTTATTGTCCTATAATTTGGGGAAGCAATAAAACACAAAAAAGCTTTGAACCAAATTCTGCCCTGTTACACTGGTGTGAATAAGAAATACTCTGATGAAAGTCAGTAGAATTCTCCAGATATATACCATCATAGAAGGGCAGAATTTGACTCTGTTGGGTTCATGTCTAAATTTAAAACCTACATTAACTACATATGTTCATGTTTTGCTCCAAGAAAAAACAGATTAAAAAAGTCATAGGTTTTGAAAGTCCATCCTATTGTTTATCTAAATGCTATACAATCATTTCACATATCCTTTCTCAAAGTGTTGAATTTTGCGATCACATTATTTTATCTGGTACTGAACCTGGAAATATGTAAAATACTAATGACTGTTAAAAACGTCTAAAAAGTGGAAGTTTGACCATACAACTTCTGTTAGTGCCCATTCACCGCCTGCTGCATTTAAACATTAATACAATCAGGCTTTATAAAAGTATTCAGAAACAGATAGTAGTGTTCAGTCCATTTTTTTTTTTTTTTTTTTTTTAAACCCCTGGTAATTTTAGAAGAAACAAATTAGTTATTTCCATATTGCCACACAGATGTTGCAGCAAAATATCTATCTGCTCCTTTTTAAATATGTGAGGAATAACATGGAAAAATTCGATATTTTTGTTAGAATAGCAGTCTATGGTTGCAAGTTTAAATAATTTGTCAGAAGCATCTGATTTCAGTGTCTTAAAATCACTGCATTTTTTGAAAGGCTAAAGAGATGTGCTTCTATTTACAATTCATCAAATTATTTTTAGATAAGAAACTAGAAGTATTATTTTAGGGCAAAGGCTAATAGCAAACTACTGGAAATGTTATGTTCATCATGGGTAATTAATAAAAATAAGAATCAATCTAGTATGTATAGAAACACTGAAGTGACAATATGAGGAAAAAAATATTTTGCTAAGTGAATCAAAGCTCTCTTTCTGAAATATCTGTTAAACCACCATAATTGTGATGAATCTTTTCTAAAGAACATCTGTGGCTCGCATGTTCGTTAGATAGAATATGCCTGTGTTTTAATGGACATTTTCAGGTTAAAAAATGTCCTTGTTTGTGTTACTTACACTTTTAGATGACTACCACTTGATTATTTTTCTTTTTCATTTCCTATCATATAAATAGACCATATCAGTTCCATTTTCTGCTTCAGGAATGGGAAACATTGTAGGCTGCAAACATTTGAAAGATAGTTTTCATTGGTTTATTACAATTTTAAGTATTTTTATTAATATTAGGGTTGAAACTTTGTAAACAAATCAATATTACCCATCAGTTTAACTGATGTACAGTTTTCCTCTGTCCGTGGAATAAGTGGAAGACTGGAAGGAGCAGCATGATGCTGAGTGCATGTGTGGTCTCTCATATACTAGGATGATGTAAGGTTGTTAGGAGAAATGCAGAATCAGGTGCACTTTTCTGCTTTAAAAAAGGAATTGTATTCTACCCCCATCTAGCATGTGCTGGACATCATGGCATATGTGCTAAGGGAAAGGTCTATATTCCTAATCAGCTTCCTAGACTATTTAGCTGGTGATACACTGGACACCACAGTGGCCAGTCTTTCTCACTAGCACTCTTTTGACCAAGAGGTTGGATTTCTATCCTGTTTTTTACACAAAAGACAGTTTTCTAATACATTGTCTTCTCTACCCAATATACTTATTGAACACAAATCTAGACTTGGCCCTGTTTAAGTTCTCAGTTTCACAGCTGTGCTACCACCACTTTTATTTAAAGCATGTATTTTTCATTATTTCCATACATTTTCTTCCATATTTGTTGTTTAATCTGCCACCTGTGAACAAGACTCTGTATTTGAAAGTTTCAGCCCTCCAAAGAAAACAGGGATGAACTGAATTATTTACCTCTACTGTTTTCTTTAATATTTTTTAATTAACTTCTGGACAAAGTATGCATGGAACCAAGAGAACATAAATCTCCATTATTAGTGTAACCACGGAAAATATAATAAACTGGTTTGAATAAATCATGAATATCTGAAGAAAGAGTCTAAACACTTCTGAATTATTTGTTGGTCCAACAGAATATCATATTCTTTTTTTACAGCACTATGAAATAAAATTGCATAGAACTATTTTTTAAAAAATCCTTGAGCTAAAAAATAATTATGAATGGTATATACTTGTAATGTTTTCTGTCTTTGCAAAATGTGAAGACAGTTACAAAGAAATGAAAAATTGCTGTGCACTATATTAGCCAGTTCATCTCTGTTATTTCTTTCAAACATCAAATACAAAGGCCGAATGTATCCCCAGATTTAATGTTAAGGTATCATAAAAAGCAGTGGCTAACTCTTCAAGATAAAACTGTGTGTCTCTTTCTGAAGCAAATTAGCAATTGCTACATTTGGCATGGATAGTCTTTCGACACACAAATAGCGGTAGTCTGTTTGCCTGGAACATGTTTGAGAATTGGAATGGGTGCAATCTTAGATAATTGCTATAATCTAGAAATTGTGTAAAGGACGTGTTCCTTTCAATGTCTATGAGCATATCCCCCTTTTAAATCAACAATATCAAATATAAAAAAAGAGTTTGAATTTAAAGTCTGTTTTAAAGGGAAAGGGCCTGAAAGAGAAAAGTTATCACCTGAGGTAAGTTCACCTGCAGAGCCACCTCTGTACATAGCAATGAGGATGATGATCTGAAAGTTTTACAATGTCTCCTCAAAGGATTTCTCTCTCTTAAAAGGACATTATGGTAGTTCCTTTATCATAATTATTTACACTAGGCAGATCTCCACATAAGACATATTTTGAAGTATTTTTACTCTGAATAAGAAAAATTGTCATGCTAGAATTAGGGGGGAAAGTAGCAATAGACATCTACCAGCTACTAAAATATATTCTAAATACCCTGAAATGGGTATTGGCTTACAAAAACAGAAAATAGAAGAAAAAACATACTGGAATCAGATGAAACAGAACACTAGCTCTATATATCTGCAGTATATGAGGGATTCTGCCTTGATCAGTTTTTTTCTTAATGTCCAACAACTATGTGAAACCACTGAAAACATGTAATGCAGAAAGTTCCCATTTTGTGATGAGCCTGTAAAATAACATAACATAGATTCTTGACACAGTGGTGTTTACTTTAGATTTCAGCAGAGGCCTTTAGAATGAATGAAAGTAATTTGACTCTGTGGGTGGGTGGGTAGGCGGGGATGGTTAGGCAACGTTAAAGTACAAATTCCGCCCTTTTCCCCTGTAGAATTCCCATTCACTCCAAAGGAAAAACAAGGAGTCCTGTGGCAACTTAAAGACTAACAATTTTATGATGACTTTTAGGGATTGTAAGTGACCAGTTGACTATCCGATAAGCAAAAGCTTATTGGATAGTCAACACACTAGTCGACTAGACTCTCCTCTCCCCTTCCGCCCCTCCCCCCCCGGCCTCTATCACAAAGAGGCAGCAAGGGGGAAAAGAAAGGGGGGGGCTGGAGGGAGCCAGCTTAAAAGCTGCTTCCCCCCAGCTCCAGCTCAGTGGTAGGGGGCAGGGGCGCAGCAGCAGCCAACTTTGAAATGTACAAGAGTCCCCAGCGGGGGCTCTTGTACATTTCAAAGGCAGAACGTGGAAGTTCTTATTGACTAATCAAATAGTTGATGGAAATCCCATCAACTATTCGATTAGTTAATCGAAATTTAACATCCCTAATGACTTTAAGCTTTTCTTTTACACTTCCAAAGCCAGTATAAGCAAGAGCAGAATCTATCCCTTATTAAATAAGGAAAACTAATATTTTGATGTTATCTTCCAGGGGTGGCTCTGTGAATTGTTACGTTGGAAGGAAGATCCCTCACCAGAAAACAGGACCCTATGGGAGAATCTTTCAATGATCCGCAGGTTCCTCAGTCTTCCTCAGCCTGAACGAGATGCCATTTATGAACAAGAAAGCAATGCAGTTCATCACCATGGTGACAGACCGTCCCACATTATCCATGTTCCAGCAGAGCAGATTCAGGTTAGTTTACCTTGGCCAATCCAATATAGCACTAAGTAAATAACACTTTAAATGCAGCAAAGGAAATTAGTATTTCTTTTCTTCCTGCCAGACTAAATAGAGGCTTCTTAGTAAGTGATAACAGTGCACTGCTCTTTTCCTTCACAATTAAATGGAGAGTGTGAACACACACTTCATTGTTTTAAACTCATAGACCTGGTGGGTCAAGTGTATCCAAACGGAGGAGAAGGAATAATTAATGACTTCGCTTAGATTTTCATAGCTAGGTTCACGTAGTCTGTTGGAAAGTCAGAAAGATGGTGTTACTCTGTTCAGTTCCGATAATTACATAACCCACAAAATGGAAGGAACTGATCATTTTTAAGTATGGTCTTTTAAAATCCAAGTACCGTGCTCTCAAATCCTTAAAAGAATCATTCATTTCAAGCAGAACTGGAGGGAGGGGGACCAGATCTAATTCTTCATCCCATTTAACCCCAGTTGAAACTTGGGAGGAGTCAATGTTTGTTTGTTTTTCCTTTAGAGCCCCTCTCCCACCACGCTTGTGAAAGGAGAGCATAGAGGCGCTTTCTTACCAGGCCTGCTGACTACTGGACCTTGGCTGGGTGCTGCTCCTCAGGTGAGCTGGCACAAGTTAAATGTGTCAGGGAGGGGGGTTTTAGGACCCACTCCCGGATAACCAAGAAACAGTATATTGATATACTTAGAAAAGATACACTCACTGAACTAGCCATGGTAGGCCTCAGAATTCACCTATGGAGGAAAAGTTTTCCCTCTGCTCCACTGCATCCTTACACATGAACCAGATAGCTCATAAACTTCTGAGCAAGATAGACTATTATGCTAAATGTAGTAGAATAGTTCCATTGTGTCCATTTGAACTGATGAAACTATTTAATGCCTTTTTATTAAAGATCTGGTGTCAGCCTTTAACTACTGCTCCAAAGAGCAAAAAATACCCGTAACTTTCAGATTTCCCAACCTCCACTGAAGCTTAGTGGATCATTTGTATTACCAATATGGAAAAATATTTACAAGTCTGAAGAATAGAGTCATCCGGCAGCCAGAAACAACATGAGTGTGTATTAAAGATAAAACAAACTGAACAAGACAATCCCTTAGGATATTGAGTACCAAAATAATTGTGAAAGCCTAGAAACTTACTGTTTGATTTAGCAAAAAAAGCTAGAAGAATATTTGAATCAAGTAGTAAAGCAACATTTGTTTGAAAATGTATATTGTTTTTAATAACATTAGTTCTTAAGGGGATAAAAGGAAAAGCTTATGCACAGTATAAATATTCTAATATTACGCCGCTTGTTCAGCTTGGCTTGCTTTGTGATAAAAAATTATGTCCTTGATCTTTGCAAACGTTACTCATATGAGTAATTGCATTATACTATGAGTAAGGGTTGCAAGATTGAGCATTTTGTATATGTATTTACAGTATGGTAGGTAATGTGTTTTTATATGCTGGAATTGTTTGTAGGTGCATCAGTTGGGCAATTAATATATATGCTTACTCTGAAAGATGTACATAGGCCATGATTGTGAAAAGACTTAAGCATAAAGTTAAGCGGTTTAAATAGGGGCATATGTCTATTTGGAATGAATTACGGTGCATAAAGATAAGAATATACATACGTATTAGCAGGACTGGAGTGCTAATTATAGAATCTATATCTAAATTTACCATTTTATACGAAAAATTTAAATATTCTATTGGAGAAAATGGAGATATGTCTGCTGTTTATTTTTAAAGCAATAAATTACACCATATGACAAGAAACTTGCTGATCCAAAACATCTTACAAAACTATTCTTTTTGTGCTGTAAAAACATAATTCTCAACAAAAGCAGTGGCTGATGAATTCACTTTTGATTTAAACATTTACTTATATTGTGCTGTGCTCCAGCCGGTGATGAGAAAAACATTTCTGTCCCTAGGGCTCAGTGTATCACCTTTTTAAAGTCTTTGAATTCCTTGCTTCCAAACCTTCATTTTAAACTCTTGTTAATTATTTACATCATGATTTGTTTTATCTCATTCCTCTGTGATGTACATCCTGGGTCATTTTATTGCTTGACATTTTGGAATGTTGGATGTTCACTTATAATAATTTCAAAATGCCAAATAAGTTGCATTATTATCTTAACACTATAAAAATATGAACTCATTTGAGGTAAGTAAGTATGTTTGTTTCCAGTTTGCAGATTGGGAAATTGGAACACAGGTAGGATACAGGATCACAGAAAAAGTTACTGTCAGGGTGACGAGTTGTTCCCAGCTCCTGATTTTCTTGTCCTTATCTAACTAAGGTTTTAAAATGCCATATCAGAATATTATTGCTAATATATCCTAACACGTTTTTAAGTCTAGTATAGACTCTAACGTTGAATTCTATAGGCTACAACTCACCACATTCAAATTAGCCTAGCTTATTAACACTTATTTTAAGAGTCAAGTACAAGGTAGCACTTTCTACCACCATATCTTCAAATCTTAATCTAAACAATATTTTGAGTGTTTTACTGGTATTCTTCCCCTTCCCTTCCTTTACCACCTATTCACAGAGAGGAGAACTAATTTGTATTTTAATTTTGATTCACTTGGATGTGGCAGTGGTGAGTCTTTTTTCAGATCTCCAGGGCCATTCTTTTTAGCTTTGCAAATTATATTTAGGTATCTGGATTTTGGGGGTAGGATACAAATATCAACAAAATACATTTACCAAACGATTTATTTTGTCTTCCAGCAACAGCAGCAGCAGCAGCAACAGCAGCAGCAGCAACAACAACAACAACCAGGTCCCAGACTACCGCCAAGGCAACCAACAGTGGCATCACCAGCTGAATCTGAGGATGAAAATCGTCAGAAACCCCGACCACGAACAAAGATTTCTGTGGAAGCCCTGGGAATCCTACAGAGTTTCATACAAGATGTAGGTCTCTATCCAGATGAAGAAGCTATCCAGACTCTCTCGGCTCAGCTTGACCTACCCAAGTACACCATTATCAAGTTCTTTCAGAACCAGCGGTATTATCTCAAGCACCATGGGAAGCTGAAGGACAATTCTGGTTTGGAGGTGGATGTTGCAGAATACAAGGAGGAAGAGCTGCTTAAGGATTTAGAAGACAGCATTCAAGACAAAACTACAAATACGCTTTTTTCAGTGAAACTAGAAGAAGACTTATCAGTAGAAGGGAACACAGAGATTAATGCTGATTTGAAAGACTGATCTAAAAAGTATTATTTTCATTCAACAGTGCCACTGGTATTCAATAATGAAATGAAAAATCCATCTTGCGTTGTCAGAAACCTTTCATATTCATTGTTTGGTCAATGAATCTTCCAAAACTTGCACAAAAGTTTGAAAAAAAAAAAAAAGGATAATGCAGACTGCACTAGATGTTTTACTCTGTTTTACAGACTGCTTCGCAGAGCTACAGATGAAGCGTTGAGGATTGTTTGATATTAATTTGTGTTCACTGGATACACTGTGGTGTACCCAATAAGCATGATACCAGTGATTTTGATTCTGGAGCCTTCAGACAAGCATTACAACTTTTGTGATTTGTTTCTTTTTATTATTATTATTATTATTATTATTACTGTAACACTCCACACTTGGTCTTTGGAAACTCACGTTTATTTAAAAAAAAAAAGAAAAGAGTTTGTTACTTTTGCTCTATTGTATGTTACAAAAGAACTATAGACTGTGGAATGCAGTTTAAAGATAACATATGCCAACAAATGCCTTGTATTATATGGCACTGCCGTAATTCAGATTTGTTTTTTGTTTTGGAAATAAAGGTCTCTGTATTTTTTCCATTCCCATTGTTACATGATTTTAAAAAAATGAAAAGAAAATGTGAAACACAACTTAGTCCTCGTTATTTATTTGTAGATCCTGCAGCATCATGTTGTAATTAATTTTTTTGGAAGTTTCCGTTAAATGTAATATTGCTTCTCTTGTTATCATACTGATTTTTTTTCTATTTATAAATGTATTTTGATGGGCAGTAAAACAAAGTGTCTTAAAAGTTTTAAATAGAGAAAATGTGCTTTACACAGTTGCCTATAAAAAGTGCTCTATGTTATCCAAGCAATTCATACTATAAGCTTCACTCTTATTGTTGTATGCAATTTTTACTATCATGCAAATAAGCTTAGGTAAATAAAACTAATAGATCACCTTAGAAACTTATGCAATTAATGTGAAAATAATTGATGTTTGCAATGTGTCTTCCTTTGGTTTACAATCAATTTTAAAGCTACAGCTGTATAAATTTTCTGTATAAAGGTGTATTTCTTTTTTATGAGTTTATTGCTATGAAAACACCAGTTATTTTGTTACAGCTGGCTGTTTTTATAAGTGTATCACAATTTTCTTTATGCAGAAATGTTCTGACTAGGAGTGGTTATTGACTGTAACTACACAATTAAAATTGTTTGTATGGTATGATATGGCAGCGTTTATCTGCTTATGTGTATATCCTAAAGAAATATCTCTGCTTTAAGTGCATGTTGTAGCTTCTTGCCACCACTTTAACTGAAAAGTAATCTTCTATCACAAACAGGCTTTTTTAAATTGCCTTAAAATTTGAATATAGTAACATACTTTAAAAAGAAAACATAGTCGGACTATGAAAATCATAACCTGTCTTTACTTGGTTAAAAACTTGCCTGCCCAGCAGAGATAGCAGGATATTACTGAGTCAAGAGGCTATCAGGCAAAAACATATTTACAATTCCTGGCAGTAATGCACATATACTAGATGCAGCTGATTTTATTTTATGCTACTTGAATTATGTTAAGTGTTCCTTACACTAAGGTATAATCTTTAAAAAGACCGTAAATAGTCACAAAATAAATAGGATAAATGGCCTTGTGTACAATAGTCCCTTACTAGGCAAAGCATTTTTAATTATCATTAATAAAATGGTTGTTAGAGCGGTCATGATTAGAGAGCATTGAATTCATGCCTACGCTTGTATGATCTGTACTGGGGAGGGGAGTTCAAACCACACAGTTGAAAGTTGCAGCATAATACTATACCTAGTTGATTAACCAAAATAAAGTGCAAAAAACCCAGCGAGTTCCATTTTTAACGTGAGTTAACAAATTCAGTGTAGTCATTCTAAAATGACCAAAACTTTAGAAATCTCTCCAAATCTGATTTGCCGAAGTGTAACTAGGAGTCTGTCATTTGGGCCATTGAAAATTTCCCCTTTGCGCTACATGTAATTCTTTAGAGAGACATGGGGTAGATAGCAAAAGAGCAGTTTGTCTGCATGCTTAAAAGGAGTCAGACACAACAATCTGCGTATTCCTGGTCTCTTGGTACGTGATTCTGCTGTCGCTAAGGAAATTGGACACAGCAATAGCAGTTGGTGGCCAGCAATCACTCGAGCAGCATTTCTGCAAACCACTAGCATAGACCAGCAGAAGCCACTGTTTACACTAGTGGAACTCCCCTTGGTTTCAAGCTGGGGCAAATGTTTACTGGTTCAAATTGCTATACAGCAGGCTGGCATCAGGTCACTTTCTGAGTATGTTCACTGGTATAAATCAGGAATAACTCTCAAGTCAATGGAGTTGACCTAGTGGGATGAGAATCAGACCTTGAATATATTAGTGTGAAGGCTAACTTCAACTGCCTTTAGCTGCCTGTGAAGTGTACCAGTAGTGCTGACTCTGGCTGCATAATTTACAATTTTGTGGTGTGTTTAGGACAGGAGTGGTAGTTGGCTATGGAACATATATCCTGCCACTCGATTAACTAGCATGTATTTCTAATGCCTTGCTTTAGGCAGCAGATACCACACCTCATAATACAAGGATAAGAGCAAATACCATCAACAAGATTAACTGCTTTTCCCTACTGTTAATAAATTCTCCTTTTGAGTTTTCTGTATGCTGATGAATGGGCCTCTGCTCTTGCAGGCTGTTGTTTCCAGCTGCCTTTTTCCCATTACCCCATGTTCCTCCTGCCCTCTATCTTTTGGGTAGCTGAGCTGCTTTAACATTAAAGTACTATTGAGAACATGTGACAAGGACTCCTGTGGCACCTTATAGACTTAACAGATGTATTGGAGCATAAGCTTTCGTGGGCAAAGACCCACTTCATCAGAGGCATGTAGTGAAAATTTCCAGAGGCAGGTATAAATATGCAGGCCAGAATAAGGCTAGAGATTAAGTTAATTCAGTCAGGAAGGGTGAGGCTCACTTCTAGCAGCTGCTGTGGAGGTGTGAACACCAAGAGAGGAGAAACTGCTTTTGTAGTTGACTAGCTATTCACAGTCTTTGTTTAATCCTTAGGATTGTTACATGATGTGTCAAGACCCACTGAGCCCTGCTTTCTCTGACACACTGGCCACTTGTATCTTGAATTAAACTCACTAGCCTGCTGCAACAGGGTCAGAGCCACACACACCAGGCCACAGACACAAACTGAAAGCAGAGCAGTATGAGACCTTTTCCCAGTACCCTCTGGGAGCTGAAGCCTAGATAAATCCATCTTATGCTGTTTAGAGATCTGTTGTGAAATTTGCCCTCTTTTTCTATGTAAAAAGAGAGATGCACAGACTTGTCCTCCCTCACCCCACCCCTGGTTATAATTACTTACACTGGGTTTATTAATAAACAGTGATTTTATTAAATATAGAAGGTAGGATTTAAGTGGTCATAAGAGATAGCACATAGCACAATGTAGGTCACTAAATAAAGTAAAACAGAACATGCAAGCTAAGGTTAATACACTAAAGAAATTAGTTACATGTACTATCTCACTCTTTAAGTTCTACTAAGCTGCTTTCGCAGACTGGAACACCTTCCAGCCTGAACTCAATCCTTTCCCCAGTTTAGTCTTACGTGTTTCCAGCAGTCTTCTTGGCTTACAGGAAACTGACAACCTAGGGGACGTCACTCCCCACCTGTGCATAGGCTACTGTCATCTTGTTTAAACTTGTTTTTCTCCTTTCCAGTGGAAAAATACAGCATCCAAGATGGATTCCAGCATCAGGTGACATGGCCATACGTCTTGGTAAGAGCCGCCACAGCTCCTTCTCCCAGGCTTACAAGTCTATTGTCCTGAGTCCTGGACTATTAAGTTCTTTGAGCATTGCTAATAGCCCTCATTTAGCCTGATGAATATACAGGTTTATACTCCAGATTTCTAACTTCAGATACTGGAATGATACATGCATATAAGTGGGTAATCATATTTGATAGATTACAACCCTTCCAATGATATCTCACATGAAGAATCTTACATATTCCAGTTATGCCCTATTCATAAGTATATCCCATAAAGAATATGGCATACCTTGTCATAACTGCTACTGATCTTCCCTTGTGTTGTGACATTCACACACTAAACAGCAGTCACTGTAAATCAGGGACCAAGAAAGTCTTACTCTAGCACCAAGTGTTAAAGAGTTTTTTAGCATACACAAGGCACTGTAGTATATCCAAATATTGCAGAGGCTTCACACTGCATGATTTTACATAATGTTCTACTATGCCTGGCATGCCCGCAGTGGAAGGGTGATATAGGCACATTGAGATGTTACTTCAGAGTGTTCACCTTACAGTAACCATGCTCTTGCAACTTTTTTTTTATTATCAGTTATTTCATGTCTCAGGTAACACTCATTAATCTTCATTGGAACAGAAACTTTGCAGGGAGTTTGTTCACTTAAAGTGTGGATGACTCCATTTGTAATTACTTTGCTGCTGCTAGTCCACCCTGCACTGCTTCACATTTGCCTCAGTCTGTCTGTGCTTGTGTGGTCTTAGCTGCTCCAGTGCTTTCTTGTCATATTTCTGATAGTGTTGGCAGTCAGTCAATCATAGCCATGAGTTCACGCACCTGGAATCGTGTAGCCATTATAGTCCCTCATAGGACAGCTGCACAATCAATCCCTTCTCAAGAAGAGTCACAGAAATGCAGACAACTACAAGGCTCTGTCAGAGCCAATGAAGTTGAGGATCCTTCCCTGACCTATCCAAATGCAGAGTCAAAGCAAAGGAGATCTGGTAGAAGTGCCAGAAAAGATGGAAAAGGAACAGGACCTCCAGAAATGATTGCACTACTGGCCCATACTATGGGGAACTGGACTGCATTTTTACAAGTTACAGTTTTCCAGCATGTATCATTGTCCCTATGGAAATCAAAGTTGGTCCACATATATCATGGGAACCAAACAAAAAGGAACTTTTTCTAGGCAGCCAAGAATGGTACTATCTGCCCAATTATACAAGTACCCCATATGACAGCCATACTGAAACTGTACCAGAGGCTAGCTCTACCAGCAGCCAGCCTGAAAATACTGGAGAGGTGTACACATATTATGTTCTGTTCTACATACGATTATAGAGGGGTGGGTCAAATCACTTTTTTTCTGGGTAGCCACTGTCTGCTGCCATGTTGAGTAGAGCTAGGATCCCCTCTCTGCCTGCTTGGTTTTAACCCCCTTCTCCTTCCCCTCATGTGCTCACAATGGTGTTTTGCCAGACAAGTAAAGCTATGAAGTTTTCTTTCCCTGCAGTATCAAATCCTGCAACCATCAGCCTCAATTGCTGCCTCCAAACCCCCTTTCAAAATCCTATTCTGTCACTTCCCCCAAGGACCTTCCCCCATTTGCTCAGGATGTTGCGCCACAGAGTTTAAAATTCAAACATGTTGCATGGCAGGCATGTTTCCCGTAGTGACAGATGCAGAAAAAAATATTTGGTTGTTCATGGTAAAACAAAGCTGAGTGGCAGAATATTGTGCTATGGCTTCTGCCCTGAATGGTGCACGGTTCATTCAAAAAAAGTGCAGAGCAGTGTGGACACAATGCTTAACAATGAAAGTACTTTATTTGGCATAAACAAAGCACACAGGCAGATGTCACATCCCTGGAGCCTTGGAATCTCTGCTACAGCCTGTTCCAGGACTTGAGGCTCAGAACCAGGGCCTGCACTCTATACTTGCTCTACCTGCACCTTCTCCACTTTGTTTGGATAGTACCAGCCTTGTACTATCTTTGATTGCACAAATGCAGATTGGTCCAGGCCCTTTCAGGAGTACACATGAGAGGGGGAACTGACTCTCTTAGGCTACGTCAACACTGCAAGTTTTCTCTGCAAAAAATATGCTAATGAGGGACCATTTGCATAAGCCGTTATCTCATTTGCATATTTTCTGCTGATCTGTTTTTGTGCTGGGGTTTTTGCGCAGGAGAGGGAGGCAAGAGCTGTTCTTGTTCTAGAACAGGATAGGTGCTTGAGCACTGGTCTAGACTAGGACCTTATTCTGAAATAACGCCCCCGAGTTTGAATTTGCAAGCAGTGCGTCCACTCTACCAAGCCCATTATTTTGAAATAGCCCTCAGAATTCAAACTCTGAATTTCCTGCTTTTCACAAGGAGTTACACTAATTCTGAAATAGTAATTTGAAATAACGTTACTGTGGA